CAACACGTACAAGGTGGGTCCCCCCCCCCGGGGTGGGTGCGGGGTGGGGGGCGCCTGCACGGCAGCGCTGATGCCCCCCGCGCCCGCAGTGCACGAAGCAGCTGATCTCGGAGCGGTTCGGGCGCGGGTCGCGCACCGTGGACCTGGAGCTGGAGACGCAGATCGAGCTGCTGCGGGAGACCAAGCGCAAGTACGAGTGCGTGCTGCAGCTGGCGCGCGCCCTCACCAGCCACTTCTACAGCCTGGTGCAGACCCAGCACGCCCTGGGCGACGCCTTCTCCGACCTCAGCCAGAAGTCTCCCGAGCTCCAGGTACGTGGTGGAGGCCGGGATCGGACCCTGGGGTCCACGGTCTCCGGGCCTCGCTCCCGTTCCCGCGGCACGGGTGATGGCTGGTGCACGGTGGCGGCTGGGCTGTGCCCGGAGGTGCTGGCCTGACCCTGCGCTGTGCCCGCAGGAGGAGTTCGGGTACAATGCGGAGACGCAGAAGCTGCTGTGCAAGAACGGGGAGACGCTGCTTGGTGCCGTCAACTTCTTTGTCTCCAGCATCAACACCCTGGTCAACAAGACCATGGAGGACACGCTCATGACCGTCAAGCAGTACGAGACTGCCAGGTGTGGGAGCCAGGTTTTGGGCTTGGAGAGAGATGGAGGCCAAGGGAGGGGTGTGGGGTGCAGATGTCAGGTGAGGGGGGCTGGGATGCTAGGGCATGGAGGGTGCTGGGGCTTGGGCAGGCTGCGGGCACCCTCCAGCGGGCTGGGCCAGGTGGAGACGCTCTCTCTGACCCCGGTCTCGCCCCCACCGGCAGACTGGAGTATGACGCATACCGCACGGACCTGGAGGAGCTGAGCCTGGGCCCACGGGACGCCGGCACGCTCTGCCGCCTGGATGTCGCCCAGAGCCAATTCCAGAGCCACAAGGACAAGTACGAGAAGCTGCGTGCGGACGTGGCCATCAAGCTCAAGTTCCTGGAGGAGAACAAGGTCTGGCAGGGGGTGGGAGGGTCTGTTCACAGCCCCCAGAGCTGGGCTAGGGGCAGTGCTGGGGGGTGGCCACGGGACACGGCAACAGCTGGGTGTTGGGTGTGGCGGAGCCTGGATGCCATGTGCAAGGGTAGGTGGGACGGCAGGAGAGATCTCCCTGGCATCAGTGAGGTGTGGGACGCGCCCAGGGTGGGGGTGGTCTTCGGTGGGGG